CGGCGCTGTGCGAGCGAGAGACAAGTGAGCAACAACGGAGGGTGCGCGCGAGGAGAGAGAGACAAGTTGACTCAACGACGGTGCGAGCGGACAGTGTAGTACGGTGGGCAATCAAGATTCTCCGGCCAGCAGATACATGCTTAGGTATCATCAACAGCAGACCTGGCGGCGCGCTGGGCGATGGACGACAAGTGCAGCATCAACGGCGGTGTAGGCGAGCAGAGAGAAAACAAGTTGAGATTCAAGTCGACGGGTCGCGAGCGAGGAGGGACAAGTGAGCATTCAACGACGGTGCGACGCGAGGACGAGACAAAGTCGAGGCACTTCAACGACGTGCGAGCGAGGGAGACCAAGTGGGAGCATCAACGACGTCGCGGCGAAGGAAAGAGAGAGACAAGTGCAGCATTCAACGACGGTGCCGAGCGGAGGAAGACAAGTGAAGATTCAACGAGGGCGTGCGAGAGAGACAAGTGACGCAATTCAAACGACGGTGCGAGCGAGGGAGAGACCAAGTGAGCATTCAACGACGGTTGCTCCCGCGCGAGTGAGAGAGAGACAAGTGACATTCAACGACGGTGCGAGCGGACACAGTGTAGTTACGGTTGGGCATCAAGTCTCCGCCAGCAGATACATGGTTAGTATCATCAACAGCAGACCTGCGCGCGCGCCGAGAGAGAGACAAGTGACATTCAAGCGAACGGTAGCGAGCGAGGAGAGAGGAAGAATGAGCATCAACGAACTTCCCTCCCCTCCCGCCGCCGCCCCCCCCGTGCGAGCGGATCACGTGTAGTACAGGTGCGGCATCAGTTCTCCGCCAGCAGATACATGTTTAGGTATCAATCAACAGCAGACCTGCGCTGCGCGAGGACGACAAGTGAGCATTCAAACGAGTAGCGAGCGAGAGGTAGACCAAGTGAGCAATCGCAACGGACGGGCTCGGAGTGAGGAGAGACAAGTGAAGCATTCAACGACAGTGCGAGCGAGGAGAGACAAGTGAGGCATTCAACGACGTGCGCGCGGACACGTGTAGTACGGTGGGCATCAGTTCGTTCCCGGCCAGCAGATACATGTTAGGATCCATCAACACGCAGACCTGCGCGCGCGCGCAGGAAGACAAGTGGCATTCCAACGTACGCGTGCGAGTGAGGGAGAGACAAAGTGAGCTTCAACGACGGATGCTGAGCGGAAACGTGTAGTACGCGGTGGGCATCCCAGTTCTCCACGCCAAGCAGATACATGTGTAGGTATCATTCAACAGCAGACCTGCCGCGCGTCGAGAGAAGACAAGTGAGCATTCAACGACATTTGCCAAGCGAGAGGGAGAGACAAAGTGAGCATATCAACGACGAACTGCGAGCAAGAGGGGAGAGACAAGTGAGCATCTGGCCATGGTGCATTGGCGTTGATGTCGGTAGTGATTGTCGCATTGTTATCGTTATCAGTATATATTGTGAATATTGAATAGTGAATTTTGTGGATGGGGCGCCGTGAGGCCTGGTGAGAGGGGAGGTTTAGGGCGGCCCAATATCTCATATGCCTAGGAGTATCGCTATTGACAAGCCAGTTGATCCTTGGTTTTAGAGAGCAAAGTAATTCTGCTTAATGACAATGCCATATAATTATTCGTAAGACTCGCAGGCAAGTAAAAGTAATATATGCGTGCAAAGCCCACTATTTCACGTTTTCCGTTAGTACACTCTTAGTGTTTATTAGCTCTTGATATCATGCAATGAGCGTGCTCCAAGTGAAAAATACACGGGCGCTCGGCGCGATTTAGCCCCGCGAAATTCCAAAAAGAACGCCCGCGTAAATTTGCAGAGTTCAATTGCAAACGCAAATTTATAGAGTGCTAGTTTTTCATGCGCAACCGCGAGCTTGAAAACGCTATCCCCCGAAAAAATAAATAATCAATTTTCCCCTGAGCGTGTCCTGTATGTGTGTCGTGTGCGGATGACGCACCGAGAAGCGGAAGCGTCGAGTCAACGTGACCCGGCGGCTATCCGCTCGCGTGCAGGCGCTCCCGCGGGCCTCCTCAGATGCAGTCATGTTCACATCCACCACCTACAACAACAAACAACGAACAACATACAACAACACATGCGTGTTAGCATGAACACCGCACGCACGACCACGCCGCACACACGCACGCGCACAGACGCACACACGCACGCACGCACGCACGCACGCGCCACACACGCAACGCATGCAGCGCACACACACGTTCATAAAGACTCTGTTAGCACGTGTCCCTTCTCCGCCTCCCTCTCCCTCCCACCTCCCTCTCCTCACCTCCCTCCTCCACAGCTCCCGCTCCCCTGCCTCCCACCACCACTCCTCTCGCACACCCCCTCCACAGCCTCTCCTCCTACCACTGACCTTGCTCACACACGCCCCGCAACCCACATGCTACCTACCTCATCTGTTCCCGAGTTATTTCTTGACGTGTGTCGCGTGTCGCTGTTGACAAGATTTTGACCCGTCTCATGTGACTCACTCCCTCTCGCTTCGCCCTCCCTCCGCCTCGCTCTCAACAAATATCCCCCTCCTTCATTCTCGTCTTCGATTCCGCACCGCCCTGCTCTACCTTTGGTTTCCAGTAATTTCACTTGCATCGATTGTGTCGCGGGCCCTCTCGAGTCGTCCATGTCGCTTCGCTACCGGATCGAACTCGCGCCGCATTGGACATATGTCGGACTGACTACTTGGCACTGTTGATTGTGAACGACGCTCTCAGCTGTATGTACGTACTGCTGTACCAGCCGCCTGTCGCACTCGGTTGCCGCTCCCTTCACCGCAATTCATGTGTGCTCTGCGACCGCGAGCGGTTTTAGTGCGCTCCTCGGGGCTCGGTCTGCGTTTTGACGTTTGCAGTGGCATTTCTAGTTGGTCGAGCAGCAATGAAGCAGCACAGCGTGCCCGCAGCCGCGCGTGTGCCGCGCTCAGCGGTGCAGGAGCAGGGCGTGCCGTCGTGGGCGCCCGGACCAAGCGTCAATAGCGCTTGTCGGGTTTCGCCGTTCGGACGGCTCGGTGCACGCAGGCGTCTGCGGGCACACGCCGTTGCCGCGTGCCCTTCATGCTTGGCCGAGCTCAAGTTTGCATATGACTCGCCGGGAGATGGAGGCGTGAAAGATTATCTGAATGAGTCACTCTTTTAGCTCTCACATATATTTCTCTCACACTCACTCACTCTGTGCCACAGCACGATTGTAATTAGTGCCTGAATTCGCGATTTTTATTAAAACATGGTCTTCTTGTTTGGCAACGAACAATAAGGGAGTATTAAGGTACCTCTTAATTTCTAAGATTCACCATGGGACATGGAAGTATAATAGTCTCTCCATTTTATTTTTGCAAAAAATATGTATATAAGACTCTTGAGAACCTCTCGCTAATCGAACACTGTAGACTCCCCTTACTGCACTCGATAACGCACGGCACCGGATCACTCAACAGCCGTGTGGACGGTGCGCGCCCGATCTGCTTCCACACGGATCCACACCAACTAAAGTTAATCGAGCACCTGTATTACACCTGATGCGAGGATCATATATAGTAGAGCTTAGAGGAAGATAGACCTCCCTTACTCACTCACTCACTCACTCACTCACTCACTCAGCTCACTGCAGCACGCACGCAGCCCGCACAGCGGGCCCCCCTCGCCGGCGCGCGCACCGCCCCCCACCCCACACACACAGCAGACCTCACGGCATGTTGTTATATGCTGGTTGGGCTGTCCTTTGCCCGCGGCCGTCTCCCGGGTCGTCGGACGACGCCAGTTGCCGCCCTTCGCCTGCCCGCGTGCACGCGATCCGTCCGCGGCGCAGCAAGACGCCGGCTCTGCGTACGGGCTGGGCGCTGCGGCGTGGGCGCGTCGCGCGGACAGGAACCTGGCGGCGACGTCGAGATAGTGCATGATTGCGCACAGCTGCGCGCCACGGATCTGGCTCCGTTACCGCCTGACCACATTGCGTGCTGCTGCTGTGCTGCTGCCTTAATTTGCTCGATAGACCCTGATTACCTGCAACGTCAACGAACGGACGAGGGATGTCGCTAATAAGTCAACAAACAGGCAAGGAAGTTCAATGTCAATCAGCTCATGTCAACAACAGGCAAGAGTCATGTCAACAGTCCAACCGTCAACAACAGATGAGAAATCGAATTGTCAAGTCAATGTCAACAGTCAACAACAGATGAGGGTCAATGTCAACAGTCAACAACAGATGAGGGTCAATGTCAACAGTCAACATCAACAACAGATGAGAGTCAATGTTGTTGTGTGAACAAGGGTCAATGTCACGAGTGGTAAGGGGTGGGGGGGGCAATGTCACACATGTGGTGGGAGTCCAATGTCCGAGGACCATGGGTTGGTAAAGGTCACACCAAACCAAAGGTCATTCAAGGTCGAGGCACCTGTCCATGCTCCCCACCCCACAGTTTTACACACCAGGGGCACTCCCCACCCCAACACACGGCAGGGGTCGTGGCAAGGTCAACGCCGAGCAGGGGCAGCGATCAAGGTCGCTCGTTAACGGCTAGCGCCACGTCAAGGTCGTACGGCTTTAAACGGCCAGTAGAGGTCAGCACGCTACAGGAAGAGTTCGCGGCCAATCACGAAGGCCGACCAATCGCCACGGTCATCGGAATGGACGTGGGAACGGAACGGTGTGTGGCGTGGACTCAAGGTCGAGCGAGCAAAGTGGGCGACGCGTAAGTAACATGTACTTATTGTAGGGCTGTAACGATCCACCGAAATCGAATCGAATCGCGATTCTCTTCCCTCGATCCGATCGTCGATATTTTTCCCCGTATTTTCGATACCACTTCGATACCACTTTCTCCCCCCAATAGATGGCGGCACTACGCTATATACTGTGGAGTGTTACTCACCAATGTTACTCAGCGTCTGTGCAGTGTATATATATATACTCTCTAGACTCTCTAGTCTATTCACCATTTAGTATTCATTGGCAATTTCTAATAATTTATTATCGCAAAATAATGAAAATATAAAAAATAAGATAACATTTCAATATTTTGGGCATCGAATCGAGAGGCTAATATCGAGAACCGGATCGAATCGAGAGGCTAATATCGAGAACCGGATCGAATCGAGAGGCTTGTGTATCGTTACAGCCCTAGTAACATGGCACGCGGCCAAACCACTCTCACCTCTTTTGCCGCCGCAGCCGAGCCGTGAAATGGAGAGTTACGGGTGCAGCAGTAGCGCGCGTGACGTCACTGCTAGACAGATAACACGCCAGCGACGACTCGCGCTCATTATCAGGTGTAAATGTTACCTGTGATGTGTACCTAGCTATCTCTATCTATCTATAGCTTATATACATAGAGTTATATGCATGTGCGTGCGTGCGTGTACGCATGAGGTATCACACAAATGTATATATATAGTATAGTAGATATATATATATATATATAGTGCTCGAAATAAGAATAAATTAAGGTGTGGGGTGTCTCCGCGTCGCGGACCAACCAGGCATCAAATGTGGCTTTGTCCGCAACCAAGATTTCTGGTTGTCTCCCAAAAATATCCCAAATCTCCGTATTTTCAATCACATAATGAATACTGTCAGAAAAACACCGCAAAAAACAGTTTGTAGTCAGGATTTTTTTTTAACAAGGAGGGTTGGCCAAAAACAGCACACTGCGCCAAGTAATAGTAGATGAGCTTAAGTTATTTTAATGGCCTCTCCACATCCCTCTCCACATCTACCGGCTTCCTCTCTTGCCTTCGCTCTGCGAATCTCTTGTTTGAGGTGGTTGCCATGCCGAAAAGGCGCACATTTTTGTCTCATCCGCCGTGGCTGTTCTGCTGCCTCCCAAGATATTAATTGTTCAGTGGCGGGCGCATCTAGGGGCATCATAGGATCATATTTTCAGTGTGTTGCGAATTGTGAAAACAAATAGACGCATCTGGGTGAGTTAATGGCGTGGATTCTCACCCACAAATATTTTGAATGGTTATGATGTGTTGGTCAGGGTGATTCGGTTTGCGTGTTTCTCCTGGTCGCCCTCACTTCATTGTTAGTTACATTGTAGAGTGTCGTGTTTTCTGACTTACGATAAATTTCTTTTTTTTTAAACTTCTCTGGCAAATCAACATGAATCCCACTGTATTGTTTGTTTTGGCATTGGGCAAACCATCGGAAAATTCTAAATATATAATGGAATAAAAATACCAAAATGTATAGGTGTAATGAGGTGACTTGCTGAGATTTGCTGGTTCCAAAATCGGACTTCACCCTTCAAATCAGAAAACTGACATATGACCAGTGTTGGAAATAGCCAGCATAGTATGACGGTCGGCTTTTGCCAACCCATAGATTAATGGGCGGGCGCAGGTATAATGCTCGTTGGGAGAACTGAGAAAACCATAAATAAAGGATGGGTGGGGCGTTTTTCGAGTCACACTTTTTATACTGGTTGTCCACACCGCGACAAGTCTCAGGAGGTGTGGTGTAGGTTAGTCCGGCGCACAATTCTTGGTTGTCTCGGACAGGCCGGCAACGCTTATTTCGAGTCTCATGCTACGTTAAGCTGTACGTATATATTATGTATATATGTATATTATATATAATTTATATATATATGCAAGCCTTTTACAGTGTCCTGATAGAGAGAGAGACAATTCCGAGAAGACCTTGCTTGTGTAAATTATAAACACTATTCTCTTTTTTTCTTACATGTTTTTTTTTTTACATTTACATAGTATTATGTATTATAATTATATACGATGTATATGTGGGCGGGCAGTAGTGTTCGGCACTTGTCAGCTGCCATACAGGTGTGGCCGTTACACACGCATAAGATTAAAACAAGAGATTATAAATATTCGATAGCACGCGTCACTCTTAATATATTATAGTGCATCTAGATATAACTGATATTACTATTAGAGCTGGATAATTGGGGATAATACACCACATATTGCATTATCATCCCTCCCCTCTTAGACGCGAGTGCAGTGTTTAAAGAACTTTAAGAACCGACTAGCAGACAGATATAGTACACGAGAAGGGATTCTATTTTTAGGGACGGATTTGCGTGAATTACGGGGGGAATCAATAATTTTCGGCGTGCGCGCCTACTACGGCTACTGTGCCTAGTTGGAGAGATTCACAGTCTTTCGACTGGCTGGTTCGCACGTAGGATGACCGCGTTACGCAAATGATTCTATTTCTTGACATCGTTTCCCAACTCCAAGGCGTGCCATCTACAACGTCCAACTGAGTCAGTATATATAGTATTTATAAGATTCGATTGAAGAGAAAGTTAGAGTTGACCAGGATGACATGTCTTCTATTCTGTGATCTGATAATAGGATAGACATCATATATGAATGGAGAGCTGACTTATAGTATGTAGACATATGACCTGTATGGAACAGTTACGATGTAGAGAGCGCGTCTATGTGCTCGAAAGGTACTGCCGGAGGTAACCTGGTCTGTCTGAATATGCCGAAGACGGATACTCACTACCGCGTACGTCCTAACCTACCTAAAGTATATAAATTAGTGACAGGGTACGTTCGCGGATATTACCGTACCGTACAGAGAGTTACGTTCGCGAGACCTTGTCATGA